AAAAAAAAGAAAAAGAGATTCGATTACATATTAAATAGAAAAATGATATTTGATTTTGTTCGATTTATGCATAAAGAGATATTATTTTTTTACGTCATCATCCTTTAGACTGGCAAGTGTCAATGTTTGCCCGGTCATCGTGGAATTCGTTGTGAAGAAGGTAAGTTAAAGAAGAAAAGCTTTTATTTGAAAGACATTGTTTGAATTGTTACTTGACACAGTTAGCATATTAATATGTGAGTATTTGATAAATCTTCAATGCTTCTTTTTTTTCTGTGTGTGTGCATCGCTTTAAATTATGTAAATGTTCATGTTTTTTTAAATATAATATTTGTTATATTGATAGATTGTCCAAATAGTTATTATGGTCGTGATTGTATTCATCGATGCTCATGTCAAAATGGAGGAATATGTGATTCACGTGATGGTCATTGCTTTTGTTTATCTGGTTTCACAGGTAGTCGATGTGAATCTTCATGTCCAGAAAGTACCTTTGGACATATGTGTTTGCAAAAATGTCAATGTACAGGAGATAATATTTGTCATCCACGAACAGGTAAAATGAAGTTTAATGGAAGAAAACAAAATAATTGATTGTTTATTTTTAATTGAAGGAGAATGTAATTCATTATCTTGTAATGGGGATTCAAAATGTTTAGTGGAACAACAAAGAAAAAAATCTTTAATATCTTCATGTCCAGAAGGTGATTAAAATAAACAAAACATATTTTTCTTTGTATGATAATATTTGATTTATCAATTCGAAGGTTATTATAGTCCACCTAATTGTCGTCAAAAATGTATGTGCATGAATAATGCTCAATGTGAACCATTATCAGGTCGTTGTCTATGTCATTCAGGACATGCCGGACGATATTGTGAACGATGTTTGTGTTATTTGATTTTTTTTTCTGTACCATTATGTTTTGTCACAATTTTTTCTTTGTCTTTAGCTTGCGAACGTGGTTGGTATGGCCCTGGATGTATTCATCGATGTAATTGTCATCATGGAGCAACATGTGATGGGCGTACAGGAGCTTGTCTCTGCGGAATGGGTATAACAGGAAAATTATGTGATCAAGGTTTGTCTGATTGATGAGACATAAATAATAATAATAATAATAATATTATCTCATGATAATAAAATTAGAATGTCCTGAAGGAACATTTGGTCGCAATTGTTCAGAAATATGCCAGTGTAAAAATGGTGCTCAATGTAATAAAAATACAGGTTGTTGTGCTTGTTCTATTGGATATTATGGTTCGACTTGTCAGTTTGGTAAGAATATTTAAAAAAAATGTTTGATGATTGAGTAAAATATTACATTTAGATTGTCGACCACTTACATATGGATATTATTGTTCTCACACATGTAATTGTTCAACAGAAACATCAGATGGTTGTGATTCAAAAACGGGTAAATGTCAATGTAAACTTGGTTTTCATGGTGATCGATGTGAAATCAGTAAGAAAAGATGATTTTATATAAAATAAATATAAAGATTTTCTTTATTTTTAAAGCATGTCCAACAGGACAATGGGGTTATGAATGCTTAAATAAATGCGATTGTAATGGAAATTCATGTAATTCTCAAACAGGTATATGTGAATGTCCAGCTGGTCGAACTGGTGTTCGATGTGAAGAAGGTATGAATTAAAAATTCAGAAATATAAAATATTATGTCATATTTTTTAAAAGATTGCCCACCAAATACCTATGGTATTGGTTGTAAACCATGTTCATGTCAATCATTTCAATTATGCGATGTTGTAACAGGCGAATGTAAATGTCCATCAGGTTGGAAAGGTGATGCTTGTCAATTTCCATTAACAGCAAATGGACCTGGTTTGTATAGGCTTAAAAAAGATAAAAAATCTAATTATATTATTTATGTTATTTTTAGATATGCCGGATAGAGGCGATATGTATAAGAAAGATACTTAACATTGGAATTGTTTCTTTTCGATTAAGTCTATTTTTTTATATTTACTTGTACAACATTTAATTTGATTTGTGTGTAGTCAGTTTAAGAAAATAAAAGAACAGATAATGAAAACGATAGAAAAGTAATATACATATATTTTATTTTAATATAAATATGACGAAATGAAATATTCATCATAAATCTCAATTGTGTTTCTGATAAAATTGTTTTCTGTTATGTAACTTTTTCTTTCTTCACTGTAAGAATTCGTTTTTAATATTCATTTTGTAAATGAAACTATTTTTTAACAAACAATGTCGGAATTGATGGTGAAAGTTGAAGGATTGAGTCAAGTTCTATGCTTAGATTAATTCTTTGATGCATCATCTTGTTGCTATTAAGTTATATCAATAATAAATCTTGTTTTAATGTTACTCTCACCTGATTGCTGTTGAAGATGATAGTATAATGCATGTTGTAAATCAATTTTATTTACTATACACAATTCATATTGACGATCTCGAAATACTATATATTGCTGATTAACTAATTCATTATGTGATGAGATAGATCAATGGAACGGAAATTCGGTGCTATTCTGATTAATGAAAGTCTAGCAAGATATTTCTCAAAATATGGAATTCGATCGGAAAGACAATATAGTATATACATAGATTACTGATCTTAAAAATCATGATATACAAATAGTCGTTATCGGGAGAAATTTATCTACTGAGGAAAGTAAGTTTATTCGTCAGCCTTGAATCTTCAAGTATTTATTTCCATTTTTTTAAGCCATTAAAAATTCAAGGAACAACAAACTACAGTCATTTAGTCCAAGGAAATTCACATAATTCGTAATTGTTAGAATAATTGAAAGAGAAAAAACCAAGATAGTTTTTCAACACCAATACTCTAAAGATCTTTGCTAAGAATCACGAGATTGTTTGCTTTATTGTTATGTGATTCTTTTCTATAGAGTCATTCAAAAGAAAAAACGATACTTCTCGAAGATTCATATATATTTTTACGCACTTCGTCTAGAATGTTTTTCAAAAGGTCGTAGAATCTATCGTGACTTAAATTCATCTTTTCATCAGTTAATTCATTAATGTTAAATAGATCTATAATTAAAGATAGAATAGTAGTGTTCTTATATTCTTTATTACAAAGACACTGATTATTAATAAATTTAAATATAAGGAAATGAGAATTCGTTCTGCAAGTAAAGAGATAAGTGAATTATATATAAAATATTTAGTTCTTTATTCTAAATTGATACACATATAATCATAAATAGGTTTTTTCAAATATCAAAATATTAATATGACTTATTTTTACATAAGTATGAAATAAGTATGATGAAGCAAGAAAGAAAAAAGTTTCATAATATCAAAAAGCTTTCTTATTAGAAAAGAAAACGCAGGAGAAAATTATCAACAAGAATAAAAAAATTAATAACCATCTACCAAATATAAATAGAAAGAAAACAATAGAAGCTTGTTCATTACACTTTTAATGTTTAAGTATAAAAAAAAACAAAATAAATCACTACATAAAGTTTCAGTTAATATTACTAACAGTCCATCTCGACGATGTATTTTTAATATTTAACGAATGACAGTCGATTTTTTTAGTAGGGACATCACTAGTGTTTGAAGACACTCTCGTCAATGGTGATCCAAAAAGTTTTAAACTTGTATATCTTGATTCTTTGTTCGTTCTAGACATATTACCAATGGACGTCCAAAGAAGATTTGATTGATGTGATTGAGTGGCAATTAAATCATCATCACTAGTTGATTCATGTTTTTTTGATACCTCTAGATATTCACATTGTGATCACAATATTAGTTTTTATATAATAAAATACAACTCATTGTCATCAACAGCCTGATACAATGCTTTCCTTTTATGTAGCGATAAAACGAGGACAATTTAAATGGTCCGTTCCTATTGTATGATAGTTTAAAACAAACTTCACATTTGCATGATAAAATACAAGCATACATCATGTGATCTCAACAAAGTCTTAGATATTAATGATTAAAGTTGTACGGTGAGATCATAGAATACATAACAATATACATATGAAAAGTATAATAAAGCCATAAAGAATATATAGATTAACTAGAATTTATTTTAATTCTTTATTTCAAGCTTTCAACAGTAACAAGCTCGATCTTCAGGAAACAAAATGATAAATATAGGATTCACTGATAATATTGATGAATAGTGGACAGAAGAGAAGCAAACAAGCCTATGCAGTGTGAATGATATGACTAATGAGACACAATATATACCGTCAGAGGAATTAAAAGGCATTTCTTTTTTGCAATTATTTGCAGATACACTTCTTATCAGCGATATCTATATGAAATTTTGAAGTAATGAATAAATCTAGAATATTTTTACATGATATAATCAAGAGCTGAAAAAAAAACATAATTTTCATTTGCTCATTAGGAGCATTGACATATTCTTGTCAATCTGTCAAGAATCACTTTGGTGACCATTCTAGAGAGCAGCACAAGCAAAACATTCTCAGTCTAAAATATATGTTTACAGAAACTTGCGCCTAACAGGAAGTGTCTCATTCGATGGTGAGCTTTCATTTGAAATATTTCGGTATCTAGGTTATTGCACGGGATCCATTGATTCAAAACCATAAATCGAGTGCATAACTCAAGCAGAGTTTGGCAAAAAAATGTGACTCATCTAAGATTTGATAGCATACCAACATGTCCTTCGTTATTCTAAAAACATGTTTTGAAGTATGAAGTGATAAAATATCAACATGATTTCTTTTTTGATACTCGGTACCTCATTCACTTGTTTGCTCAAAACATTATGAAATGATCAAAAATCATCTATCATATTTTCACATCTTGAAAGGCTTCATTAACAGAAAAAAACCAATTACTTTCATGTTCTCGTTCTTCCTGTTTGCCGACAGGCATGTTTATTACAGTTCCATGAGCATTTATCTAGAATATCTCGTTTATAATTTTTATGAAGTACTTTGCACAACTGGCGAGCCTCTCATCTATAAATATTAGCCGTACGACCAAAAACAAAGTCAACACTTTAGCTAAAGTAGAAATTTGAATAACAGATTTAGTAATGAAAATTGTTTTTTTTTTTTGTATTTTAAATAGTTTAACCGAACGGGTGGGTGTGAAGGAAGCTATGGAGGAAGAATTATATATTCAGTAAGATATACGTACACCTTTACAATATGAATAGTCACTTTTGTCTTTTCTTCGTGAGATATGGAGTACCATAAAATATGTGAATAGTATTTTTTTTCTAGTTCTGACTTATTGTCTTCAATAAAACATCAGCTAAATGCTATAATCTTCAAAATATGTTTTTCTTGAGTTATTGCTTTGACAGTATCGATATTGTGTTTTAATAATATTGTTTTCTCCGTCAATATTTATACCAACATAAATATTTAAATAACGCACGCTTTTTATTTATGTCACTGAATCCGGTCGGTTTTTTGATCGTTAGATAAATATAAATCAGCGCTTCAGTGACAAATAAATCTGAGTTAAGCGAATATGGGCTTCTCTATCAAAAACTATGTTTGCTGTCGTAATTGTAGGTAGATTATATTAAATGAAAGAATACAAAAAAACGTTAACGTTATTTTTGCGTAGAACATGTGAGGACTAATATGATAAAATTCAAATCAAATTTTCCATTTCTTGTAAAAATGAAAAGTAAACACATCATGTATTTTTTTTATTTTTTAGACATGCCTCGTCATGTGAAAGTTTGAACACAATAAAAATTGATTAATTTCTTTCGCCACTCGAATCTGACAGATCATTGTATTCCTACAATGAGAACAATATTATTCCTACTAATAGTTTTCTTACTTTATGGATTTTCAATTGAAGACCAACTAAATTTCTGCACATTTAATTCAACCATTCCTGAACTTCCATCTACATGGTCCTATGCAACACTTGATCAAGTAAAACTTTGCTTTGAAAATATTTCAATAAATCATTCCATAATAAATGCAACAATGAAACAATTGTTCAACTCATTAGACTTCTACAGTTTTCTGAGTTTAGTTCGTCAAAGTAATTATCCATACTATATAAATGTCAATCTTCGAGAAGAGTTATCAAATATTTTCCATCAATCAAATATGAATATATATAAAAATAATTATGATTTTCACATGGCTGTAACATCTTGTTTTAAAAAATTAAAAGATTTTCATACTACATATTTTGCACCATATGGTTATGCACAATTTAATGTATTATTTCCATTTATTTTTGAATTTTTACCATTAACAAAACAAATAAAAGTTAAATTCGGAATTAATTTATATTCTTCCATAATTGGAAATAATTTAAATATGAATTATACAAATCGAATCGTAACTAAGATTGATGGTATAAATGCATTAGAATATATGAAAAACTTTGCTGATAAATATTCTATTATGAGTAAAGATTCAAGTGTAAGATTAAATTCTGTTTTTCGAGAAGAATTTTGGTTACAAAATCTTGCAGAATATCCATTACCATTAAAAAATAATATTACATTTACATTTTTAGATAGAGATGAAACAACAATAACATTTCCCTATGTCATAATAATTACGAAAAAATTTGATAATCAAAGTCATATAGAAAATGAGAATCGTTTTTCTCTATCATTAACATATACAACCAGAAATGCTTTTAATTATATAATTAATTTAGAAAAATTAAATTGGTATGAACAGAAAAAAAATAATAATTTTAATTATATTATGGGTAATACTGATGTTTACTATTATATTCACAAAAATACAAATACTTCAATTATCAGATTAGGATCATTTGATATAGAACCTATTGAAGATGTAAAACAGATATTTTTAGCAGCTACTGGTGAAACATTGATAATTGATTTAATAGGAAATCGTGGTGGACAAAGTTGTTTAGCTTACGGTTTATTAAATTATTTAGTTCCAGAATATTCCTCACTTCATCTTTTATATGAACCAATGGACGGTAGAATAACTAAACCGTTACAAACATTTGCAACGATTTTTAGTTTGTTTCCAGATTCAATATTAGATCTTCGAAATTTTTCATTGTTTACAAATATGGAATGGATGAAACCTTATATTAATTATACAAGAGGTAATCTGACAGATGAATATTCAATGAAATGGTCTATTAATTGTGATGGACAAGTATTCGGTACGGGAAAATATTGGATTAAAAATGGAACTGATAAAAACTATTTTAAATCAATTTATGTTTTAACCGATGGCAGCTGTGGTAGTGCTTGTAGTTTATTTTTGTCAAAATTAAAATATGCTTCAAATTTTAAAAAGATCTATGGTATTGGTGGAGGATATTATAATAATGATAATGATCTATTTGAAAGTTCAAGCTATGCTGGTGGTGGAGCATTTAACTGGAATGATCTTGTACAATATCATAATCAAATTAATAATGATAGTTCATCTATTGATTATTTACCAACAAGTGCTTATTTAAATTTAAATGTCTTTGAACTATATATTAATGCATTAGATAGAGATTATCCAAGAGAATTTTTAAAACAACCAATTGATAGAAGATTAAATAGTGGTGATTATTTTAATATTGATCAATCTCTTGAAAAGATAATACATGATCATATTCAATCAAATGGAAATAGACTTATTGCTTATAGTTTGATTAAGATAATCATTTTTAATTTACTCTTAATAATATTTCTTATAAATTGAAACAAATAGATAATATATTAACTTTGACAGTTAATTTAATCTCCGAATGATAATAAATTTTATGAGTTCATTAATGGTACATGAAACATAATATTTTTTTAGTGAAAATTTTATATTTAATAAGTATTAATTAAAATGTGCTGATTCTGATATTTACCATATTCCAGATCGATTTTCAGATACCTTGTTAACTACGTAGATCGTGCTCGATATACGTATTTCAATAGCAAGATATTTGCTATTAATCAATAGAATAGACTGATCAGAGATTAGTAAAACACGATTCATCGTTGAAAAATGATTATGAATTATGTCTATCGATTTTAGAATATATATCTAATGTAGGTTTTGCCAAAAAGAACTATAAGATATATTAGTTCTTGCTATACATGCTATTTTGAACTGATGAAAATATCTATATAATCGTATTTCAACTGATTGTTTATTAAAAGTCACTTTAGGCAAAAAGTAATTCTATCGAAAAATTAAATAAATAATTTGAAGTCAATACGATCCATAAATAATTCAAAAGAAAAAGACCCTAAAGCATTTCTTGTGATTTATTCTTTAAAAAACAAGAAATAATAAACTAATGGTAATCTAGGCAGCTTTCGAGTCTTTAGCAGTTACTTGTAAAGTGCCGATTGTAATTAAATATTGGCCTATACCATATGTGAACATAACAAATAAGCCCGGTGTAGGTAAAGGTAGGACAAATCTGTTAAAAGCTAAAATCGTATCGGACAAAACGAAGAATACTGCTCCGGCAAAAACAGACCAAAAGCCACTAGCCTTTCTATCACGTAAATAAGACGTGTAAGCCATACCAACGATCACAATAGTATAAAGAACTACAGGTACAAGTAAATCTTTCGTTTCTTCTATGTCTGTATTCAATCTTGGAGAAAGTATGTAGAGCATGAATGTAATATAGGCTAAGAATGGAATCGATGCAATTATCATGGCAGATACAGTTAATCGACGTCTTAATTCATCTCCTTCATGTTGAAGTCTAACCATAAATGAAATAATATAACTAATATGAGCAATTAAAAAGGAAACTAAACCAAAGAAAAATAATTTATTGCGATGCTGCATTAGTAATAGATCACCGAGCCAAGAAAAAGTAAGTGCTACCATTAAACATCGTCGTTCGAGTGACAAATTATTATGTGCATTTAATAAGAATAAAGCTAACAATACGGGCATTAATAGCGGTTTGACAATCCATATAATAACATCATTCTGAATTATTTCACTGTACATGTCTATGATAAGTAGGACTGAAAACAGTAAAGACAGTGGCCCAATGTAAACCATTATTTTTTTTTGTCGTTCGTTTTAATGAAATAAAAATTCTTTTCAGATGCAAAGAAATACTTTTCGTTCGTAAAGATAAGAATCATAAGTGATGGCTTATATTTACAAAAGGGAAAATATATACCATAAAGTGCTTTATAATGATGATAAACAGCATAAAAATATAACTCGCAGCTTAAATGATGACTTTGAAGGCGTCAAAAAAACAAGTTAACAGTATGACAATAATATGGCAGATCATTTGGACGATGTTCACAATATTGAGGTTACTCTTCATAACATCATTTATGTTTTTCAATTTGTATTAGATCAAAAATGACATTAGATGAAAATGATTTAGATATTTGAATGTAGTCAGTATCATCAAGGTTTGTTTCACTTGAAATAAACTTTTTAAAAAAATTGTAGTGTGGATACTGATTGCCGAAAAAGATAAATCTAAGAAAAAGCTATTAAATGGTTTTTTTTATTGATCTATAAAATATAGTTGAAACTATTTGGAAAAGAATAACACGCGAGAGGATTTCTCAAATGCCGAAGAAATCAGTGAAAAAAGCTGTAAATAATTGAATAGCTCTGAATCACTAAATTGATTAGGTAAGAAGAAATGCTCATATTATTGATAATGATTGTACAATTTGATCTCATTAATGTTGAAAGTAGTTTAGATTTATTCCAAAATTATTCAGTATTTATATCAGTCTGATATTGTATTCAAATATGAATATTTTTATAAAATATACTATATCAAAATCAAGAGTAAAACAGAAGAAGAAAAAAATTTGAATTGAATTCTATTCAACTGTTCCAATATCTAATTCAATCGAACTTATATGTCTGATCAAAATATGCTTAAAAAAGATATCATTCGTATATGATATATTAATTGAATGTATATTATTTATTTTTCGCTAACATAGTTAGTGGATCATAGCATCTAATATATTTAAATAATTTTCAATTTGTTCGATTATTTTTGACATTGTGACATGAATTTTATTAGTAGTTATCTTATTTGAATCATTGAAATTGTTCGAATAATTGGAATTTTCATCTAATTATTTCTATATTGTCAATGACACGTACTTTGTCAAGTTTATCGATTCACTGTTAATATCTCCTTGTAGTTTGATCCATTTTCTATATTCGTTAACAATCTGTATTATTAATAAATAACATTCTTTATTGGTCAAGTTAATAATATAGTCATCATGAAGTTCTTTCAGATGATTTTGTTGCAGAATATGAGATATCATTTGAAATGAACTAGATCCATTTATCATTGTATCCTGTTTAATAAGAAAACGAACATTAATTAGTAGTTAAATTTAACCATAAAAGAAAAAAACTAACTTGTCAAACATTTTCACTAATAAGATCAAGAGAGTCATTAACATAATTGTTTATCAATTCGTTGAATATACAATGAATAATTATTGATTCCATTTTTATGAAAGATAAGTTGTATAATCCCTGAGATCTTCATTAGCAATTGTCGATAATTCTTTATTGTACTTAAATAATTTATGGTAGGAATTGCTCGATGATTGAAGAAAAGGTCTAATTCTTACAAGACTTTTTTTCAGATGAAAATGAGATTATCTCTAAAATGAATGTTTATTCATCTGCAAAATCTTTATGAATAAAGAAGATATGTTGTTTCTTCTTGAAGTATTTTGCCATGACAATGATCGGCTTAAGAGATACTGTTATAATCAAAATTTACGTATGTCGATACAAATATATCATTTGTATAAAAAGTTTTAAATATTGATCTACGATAAGAACGAATAGATTTCGTTAAAGGTTGTTTGTCATTTTTAATATCGATTGACGATTGATTAAATACTATTTTTTATATTTTTTTCTATTCAATTAGACTTGATAATCTTTTCGAGTTCACGAACAGTTTGATAACCAAGAAGTGTATTACGAATCGAACAAGGAAATTCAAATAATTTTGATTTAAGAAGTTGATATACCGTGCGTTTGATAATTCACTGACCAAAAAGAAAATTCAATA